GGGGGGGGGGGGGGGCAGCCAAAGGCAGAGTGGGGCCGCATGCACTAGAATATGTAGGAGTGGGCAAACAGGGCGGTAATCGATTTTGAGAGAAAAGGATGTTATATATTTCTCCAAAGGTAATTGCATTTTTTACGGACAGAAAATAGCTTAAACTTTACGAACATAGAAAACAACAGAAATTTCAACATAAATACAATTTTGTTGTATTTCAACACAATTTAAATAATCCAATTTCGACAAATGCACGCAGGGTTTTATAAAAGTATTCAATTTCTAAAAACTATCACTCGCAATTCAGAATTTGCATGAAGTAAACGTTTGAGCTTACTTTCAGCATTTCCACGATTCTGATTAATTTGAGCAAAACATGAAAGCAAATTCTCAACGGAGTTAACGACCAGTGAGGCCAGCAAACCACTGACCCCTCTCTCTTCTACCTCTTCGTGAGCTACGCCGACGTGGGTGAGGCCGGCATGCGCGTTTGGGCCGGGTGTGGAAATTAACATTTCATTTCTGGAAACTGGGAGGTGAACGCTGCAGACCTTCGATCGCCACGATAATGTAAAACAAGAGTAGAAATCGCGGAATACAAGCGCGCAACGAGTAATGCGAGGGAAATGACGAGGGATCTCGCAGCTAGAGGCCTTTTTCGCGTCGACAACATCTAGGAAGCCTTCTAACGATGTTGCTCTGGCGTTAGAAAATCATCCTCCCTCCTATTCATGTGGCAATTTACGAACGCCTCTTCAATCACTTTTCCTTGAATGTTCACTTGATATTGAATCAGTTTTACATCCACCTCATTTGCTGCTTTGCTGAACGAAGGCCGTCTCGGAAGTCCTGAGAAGTATTCAACTGCCGTATCCGAAAATCTGCAGCACAAAACCGCTGTGCAAGGCGAGGAAGCAACAGGGGCACAACCGTGTGGAGGCAACCGCGTGCAGCGAACACTTCTTCCCCGGCGCGCTCCGCATCGAGTCCAGGGATCGAAACGGCATCGAAGCGCACAGGAGCAGCAACAACACAAAGAGGACGAGAACCGGATGTCGACGGGAGCGGCCTGGGGGCCGGGGGCGCGGCGGCAGCGAAACAGGAGAACGGGGTCCGCGGCGGCGGTCGCTCGAGTTACACAATCCATCACACGCGCGGCACACGACACCGCGCGCGCCGGCCGCCCCCGCCCCCGCCCGCCGCACGCAGGAAATTGGGCAAGGCGACACCGATCGTCAAATACACTCGGCTGGATGGAGCTGGCCGCCCGCTATGAATAGTTGGGCCCCGGCTCCTCCGGGAGAACCCTGCCCTGCCCTGCCCTGCCCTGCTCTCCCACGGCTGCCTTCGAGCCTCGCCCGGCCTCGCTGGGAGCGGTTCGAACCTCCAGCCACCTTTTCGGGGGAGCTGCACAACCTGATACACTTTTTTGCGCCGGTTGAGAAATGTCACTGCAGGAGCGCGTGTCACAGTAAAGCATGCGCCGGGTGATCACTTCAAAGAATACGTAGTTGTAATGTTAAAAAAAAAAGTTTAGATAAAAAGTTTACAAAGATATGTAAAATATAGCTGTAATTATCGTATGATCTTGTCGATTTTTTTAATAGGTATGGAAGTAAGAATTGATTATCGGCGATTTACCGAAAGCACACGTGGACTGAAGTTAGCGCGTGGTAACGATCCGTGTATGCTGGAACATGTGCAGAATCACGTGATACGTTAGGGAAAGGGACATGGTTTTCCGCTCTTCTTGTCGAGATATGCGAGTATACGAAAGTCATTCGAATAATACAATGCGTTATGCATGACTGTACACGTATGTAGTGCTAATAGTGTTTTCATTGCACAAATGTCGATTGTCAGTGTTGGGTAGTACATCTTAAGTGTGTCTGGAAATGGTGTTTTGTATGTATGAATGCAAGTATGAATAATGTTGCGCCGCGCCTTGCGTTGCATTCGTGTGTTTTTTTCTTATTTTAGTGTTTAATGTACTATGTATATATGATGTAAATTGTATTACATTTTAGAAAGCTAACGGGAGTTCAACTCTACGATCAATATGTATTTTTAACACGTCTATCTAAATTTTGCATTAAAGAATTTTTCGCAGGTATTTTGTTGACTGCCGTATTTAGAAATAAATATTCTTTCTTGAGGAAACTACGTACTCGAATGCCCATTTATTTTATTGTATATTAGTTACCTGTGACTCCATTTCTTAATACAAAAATTCTCAGATGTGCTTCACTTTGGTAAATATTATCCATGATATGACACATTAGAGATGTTAGTTGGCAGGTCATAAGGGCGTATCGAGAGCATTCACCGGAACATAAATTTCATGACATACACATATTAACAATAAAATTCTGTACACATCCAAGCACATAAGAAAGGTATAAATTTGGTTGTTGAAACAGCCATATCCGTTGTTATCTCTACCTGCTGAAACGCGCAGTAGGAACTGCTAAAACGCTTACTCGATTAGGACGTCACCTCTATAAGCAGCCACGCTTTTAGAAAGCAAACTGATTTTTTCCATAAGACACGTGTAAATACTCCCTCTTTTGAGCGGTCATCTGGATCCTGCGGCTAGCGGCCAGATTTTGTTTTAATTGTAAAGCGGAAAAGCGGAGAATATTACTGCTGATTCAGTACCTTTCTGCGACGGAACATGTTTGATTACTTCGAATAAAGACATCTAAAGTCGCTTATAAATAATGTCGCTAATAAATAACTTGCTTCTCATAAGATCAGAATATAAATCTGACCTAATACCTGTATAAAGTAACAATCAATTCGCTTCGCCCATTTCACAGCAGTTTAATCCCCAGCTCCCCTTGAGTGAGGAATAGTCTAGTGATCGCGATCTAGTTGAACACGCTTGCCGGAATGCTATTGCCGGAATGCTTGCCGGAAGGTTATTATTTTTTTTGTCTGACGGCCCTGTTATTTTTCTATAAGATGGAATTGCATCTTCAAGACTAGTTTGCAAGCAAGATTCGTTCGGTGATGTACAGTGAATTAGTCGAGTAAGAGAATGGATGACAAATCAATGGACTTTTAACGCCAACTGAGAGGAGGTAAGTCCTCCTATACCCCGTTTCGATTAAATGGTATTTTGTGGTTTCGAGTTTGTGGAAGAAGAGATTTTATTTCATAGCAACTACCACTAGTCGACTCGATTTATGCTTTCCTTAATAGCATAACCTTAATTAAGCGGCCATCTCTGTTAACGATCTAGATTTGCCAGAATCATTCGTTACCGCTTAATATAGGTTTCACTGTACTTGTGTCGATTCGTCTCTGATCGGTCGCCACAAGTTTTTCTTCGGTGTGTTGTATCGTAGTTTCGTATTTTTGCACCCTAACCTAAAGTTCTACTACAATAATTTTGAACACTGTGAACAAACATTAATTCATCACACACATTTGTCTCATTTGCTGACACAAAGACAAAAGAAAGAAACAAGAATAATGTCATACTTATGCCAGGTGAAATCTTTAACAAGAGATTTAGTTATTCCACCACCTTTGAATACTTGTCCTTGGGCCCCCTCATATAACATCGTGGACAACTTAAAATTATTATTTAACTCCCACATTCCATTGAAGATTTACTTTTGGTTCACAGGACAATGTCCCGAGTTCTAATGAACTCCTACAATAGCACGAGAGAAATCTAGCAAGCGGAGAGGAGGACCTCCAATTCCGGAAATGAGAAGTGGCGTCGAGCGAGAGAAGACGGGAGATGAGTGTCAAGCAGAATAGAAGAGAGTAAAAGAAAGCACAATGCGTGAGTGACACGCACGGAGAAGGCGCAGATGAAGCGGCGACGCTGCGGGAGGAAGAGGGCGGGGCGCGGGCGGGGCGCGGGCGCGGGCGCAGGTGCGGCGGCCGCGGAGGAGCCTGGAAACAATTAAAGGCGGAGCCGCGACCGATCGAGTTGCAAGGAACAGGAGACGGCCGGGCCGGATTCGGGGCGGCGGTGAAGCTCGTGTCGAAGCGGCCCACGCCGCTTGCCGCTGCCGAGAGAGACCCTCGATCGCGCACAAAGGGGAGCAAGCACTGAAGGTCTGCTGACGGGTTTTTAATACAAGAAAATATCGTGTATATATTTCATTATAAATGTGCCTTATGTCTAGTTTGCATTGCACGATATATCTACCAAGATATCTTTGGTATATCTTGCTAAGAAAGGTATATAATAAACAAGGTAAAGTAAAAGAATGGTAAAATAAGAAATATCAAATTTCCAACATTAGTCTTACATGTGTCAGTACAAGAGCGGGTAGCACAGGAAAGCCCTCACGGAGAAACAACATTACGCCTTTCAGAACATAATTCTCTTACTTAATCAGCAGAGCTACATTCGATAATTTTTTCGATAACTCAAGTGAAATTTGTTTTTCGGCACAAAATGTAACGGAATTCAAACCAAACTTTCTCATTAATTCCTGATGATAATTTTTTTTCCGTGACCAATATTACGATCTCCTAAATTCTCCGTAACTTTTTGGTAGTTTTCAACAATTTTTTTATTTCACTTGGGTCAAACTTATTAAATTTCATTTTTCATTATGAAAATAATTGGGAGAAAAACCAGCATATTTTTATCTTAGACCACACTGTACAAGAATCAATCGCATTTTTCCATTCAATTAAATGACACGTGTTAATTGCGTTAAATGATTCGTGTTAAGGCAAACTAAATGAATTTTACGTGACAAGACTCAGGTTATCAAGACTGGACTTCCACCTGACCACAAGAATTTCGCTACTCCTTTCGGTGTCTAGTGGAAGAAGAAAGGTAACTCCCGAATAACTTCGAATGAATGCATACGAAGGATTTTTCCACCCTTAAAAATCCACGCCTTCGTTGGGTTTTGGGCCCGGAAGGCTAACCGCCGAAGCCGCTGAAATGAACTTCCTTTCTAGCGTACTTCCTCCGGGTGTAGACGCTGCCGGAAGCAATCTCGCCACGCCGTGGGGGCACGGACGTGATAAGCGGAGGGCCGCACCTGGCAGCGGCAAAGGTCTCGCCCTTATCACGCGCACGCACTCAGCCGGCGCCTTCTGGGCTGACGCTCCCATATGCTCTGGCTCTGGCCGGGCCGCCCGCCCCAAGCAGCGACGGCAGTGCGCAACCGGGCCGCCAACGGCGCTGCCAATCGGAATGCACAGATCCCACGCATTCCCTACAAGCCAACTCTCGCGCTTAATAATCACTGAAAACCTACTTTCCTCTCCCGACCGTGGATGCCATTTCGACTTGAAGAATGGAATGGGATTAAGTTAAATTAGGAACATACAAAAGTCGTAACCTTTTAATATTTTGATATGACCCACATATGCTAACGAAACAATCACATCGTAGACAAAGGCAAGCAAACTGAAAGATAAAATAATAACGCAACCAATTTTTAAAGAAACGCGACCTGAGCGTCTCCACGAGACCGTTAAAAATTCATACCATGGCAGTATTTTTCACCATTCAAGCAACGACACTAATACATCGGACGTCGGCTGCAATCCAGAAACTCGCCACTCCGTCGCCCGTACCCTTCTCTCGGCGCGGCACATCCCCACCGCCACCCGCGCGGCAGTCGCATGCGAAGAGCTCTTCAAAGCAACTCTAAACAGCGATATTTTGCGTCATAACAAACCGTTCGGCTTTGCGTGTGTAGAATTCGCAGTCGGCGACGCGGGGCGGACCGCGGCCGGGGTCGGGTAGCCGGGGAGGGGGGGGGGAAGCGCCTGCATGCAAATTGGGCGCGCGGACGCCGCGGTGACGGCCCGGGCCCGGCCCGCCCCACCGCGCGCCACGCATGGAAATTGGCCGCGCCGACCGGGGTTAAATAACAAGTTGCGTTTTAGCGCCGGCCTCATTAGCAGCGCGCGCCGGTGTTCCACATGGCCCCCGCAGCGCGAAGGCGCGCACGGCTCGCCCCCAAGCGACCATGCCAACGGGCCTCGCGCCTCGGTGACGAGGTGAGAGCAGCAGGTTACGAACCACACGCCTTCTCAATTATTATTATTATTATTATTATTATTATTATTATTATTATTATTATTATTATTATTATTATAGCAGTGCAAAAATACAACAAACTACATTTCATTTTCTAGCATATGTGCCGAACATGCTCAGACACGCACAACAGCAAAGGTTCTTTGCGCGTTGTCGTCAAGAAACAAGATATTCGTTTGTTTTCGCAACTCAAAATGGCATTCATCTGTTCTCCTTACCTAAACTGTACAATACAGACAGAAGCAAAAATGTTGAGACAAAAAACTAAATGTTCGACTAAACTTCATTCAAATGACAAATCTTCAAAGCAGTATACTTAAAAATATTCGACTACATGAACATTATTCCATATTCTAACATATTTCGCTTGTAAATATACCATTTTCGTCCTTATATCCAATGAATCTATAAATTTAATTGAAGAAATTTCGCGAGCTTTTGATGAATGTTTATTACATCACAGCAAGTGCTGTCGTTTTATATAAAATGATTTAGGAAATTCTCTGGCGTAGTCGACCGTTCTCCTCTTCTGTATGTTCCATCGAGAATAAGTCGAGAACTTTGCGTCCTTTGCCCTTAAAATGGTTTTCGAGGCCCTTTTAATGCCTACAGGTTTTGTTCCTTGGGCTGTAATTTATCAAAGGAGTCCTTTCAGGATGTTCTTTTACCAGGATCCTTACGGTGAAGGCGAACGCACTGTTCGGGTGCTGGGGTGGGTTCGGTTTAGTTAATGTTATTTTCTTACGAAAGTCGTTGTTTAGGTAAAAATTGCGGAAGAAATGTGATGAACAAATACCTCTACGAAATCGTTTCCGTCATATGGTGTAAATAAATAGAAACTTACTTCAAAACTAAAGTTACATCACAAGTTGTAATATATTTTCCACTTACACACGTTGAGTCATTTCGGGTATTTAAAAAAAAGCACCGGCTTCACGAAAAAATATCATTTTATAAATTCAAAATAATTTTTCAGACTAACTAATAAATCTACACAAAGAATATTCGAAAAATTGAAATTTTCGCAGCACAAAAGGAAATAAAAGCTCAAAATTAGTAACGTGCTAAAATTATGACTATCACTTGATAGAGCACATTTCATTTATGTGAACCTTTAATCATGCTGGTTTTGCTATTTGTTATGGTGTATTTGCATGTACATTTCAAGACTTGAATTTGCATGAAAATCCTGTCTTCACTAATAACAATCATGTGTGGACTTACCAATGAACACAAATATCTGGTGATGCGAATAGCGAAGCAACATAGAGATCGACACAGTCTGAAATAGAGAAAAACATTTTGTAAATACATAATTGACAAATACATATACTTTCTTTATGTCACATATTGTACTATTCACGGTTTGCAACAAACTCGTACTAGAATATTTTGAAGAAACACCTTTTGTTAAAATAATATATTTTACGGTTAGAGTACAGCGGGATTATCAGAGAAATTACTTGAATACTTGAACACTTTTTCATTTTGGTTTAACAATATCGTTTTCACAATTCATATCCGTACAATCGATTGATAAACTAAAACCCCTGTCAATCAACAAATGAAGTTTTACAATGAAGAAAGTATAATCTATATGAAGTGCCTGCATAAATTGTTTCCTTACAATTTTGCAGCAGTATTAATTTCGTCCTTTGCATGAGCCACGGTGTGGCCTTTATTGAACAGAAGGTACTAATTCTATTCGTTTATTGACCAGAAAAAGTGCTTATTTACAAAAATAATCCGTATTACTTATTATTAGTATAATTATTTTGACAATTCACACAACAAGAATGCATTACACACGATAAAAATATTACTTTCTAAAATGCTTCTCTCATATCACTCCACGAAGGAAATTAGTTAGAAATATTAGTTTAATACAAAACACACTCTCCATGGCATGTGCGGGGAGACGACTCAAAGGTGTCAGTTTAGCACCCAGATTTTCAACATTGTTGGATAAGACCTTCGCAATATTGGGTTACAATTAAGGTGAAGATAAAGTGAGAATGTAGATAAAGATGATAATGGTACGATGCATGATAATACGATTATTGATACGATACATACGATACAAGTACCTAGTGATGCGACAACAGCACATGCTTTTTGGCCTTATTTCTAACTTTTGCAATTTTCGAAAATTCAGAGTGTTCAACGAAACGGATGCCTGTGCCATTATTTTAAGCGTCCTTTACTCTATTCAACGCAAACATTTAAACAAAAAGTTAGGGCGGTTTACGAGATTATTTTTTCCTAAATTTTCATTACTTACAGGAAAAATTACGCGAAAACTACTCATTTTTTAAGGAAAATAATTAATAAAACAAAATTTGAGTCGTTTTTGAAAAAAGAATTATATAGAGGCACCCGGTGAAGTGCCCCCAAAAATCAAAATATCAAACTTGCATAGCCTCGACCTCGGCCACATTGATCGGTGAATATCGGTTTTGAAGAAAATTATCTGTTTAGGCGCTAGAAAAACAGACGACAGGGACGGGCGGGGTGACACGTGGGAATGTGCACAGATGGGTAGTCGGGCAGACGGACAAGCGGATTCATTGGCAGGCGGGCAGAGAGACGGTCCGACTTTTTTTTTCCCGCGATATCGGGGCTCCACAGAACGAGCTTCTCTGTAAAAAAAAACGCCATTTTTGCCGCAGCATTACAATTCTTTTCCTGCACTACGTAAGAAAGTACTATGACGAGAAAGTAAAAGAGAAGATGATAAATTGGAGTAACAAGTGAAATGAAAAGGGGAAATAGGAATACCCCGAGTAAATCTGGCATAAAACCCGCATGCGCCCCCCCCCCCACATACACACACAAACACACGCATAGACCGCGATTTAAACCACGAATCCCAGAGGTGGGAAGTTAGCGATCTGACTGCTATGCTATTGCCACAGTTTAGAAGTAAATATGCAAAATAACTTATGTTTACTTTTCGTAATATACTTTGCAATCACCGTCAACAGCATTGTCAAATGTAAATATTTTACTTTTAAAAACGGAGTAATTCTTTATTACAATTTATAGCAAACGCCTCGCTAGAAATGGGATGTCTTGATTTATTGTCAAACAAATATCAACACGAGCCAAACGCGACAGTGTCGACAGACCAATGACGCGGGAAATGAATACGGTGCGGTGATTTTGATTCTTTATTCACACACGCACGCACACACACACTTTTCCTAACTCTTTTCTTTTTTGTCACTCCCGCTGACATCATAATGTGAAGTTATAAATGGTAAATAGTTGGCAAACTAATACTGTTGCATATCCCGTCTGCGCTGCACGGGGAGCTGAAGGCGACGTCATGCGAGGCTGTGGCGAAGGCGGCAACGAAGCACCCTCCCTGTGCCCTGTCGCCTCTCAGCAGCCGCTTCGCCAGACTCTTAAGGCTTCGCGTCGGAGCCCATCACGGCCCACTGCAGTTCGTCTAATCGCGAAGCACAATTGCGCACACCGTGGGGGTCAACTTTGGATGTGAAGCCACCCACGTCTCTCTCAATTAAGATGCTCCACAACTGGTATGTCACACGTCGTGGCTACTACTATAAGCACAAGCAACACAAATATACTCTCTGCATAATAATAAATTCTTCGAAACTAATTATGCACCTCTCTCCTCTCCTAAGAATTAATTTTTAAAATTACATGGAAGTTCTCCATTTGCTACAGAACGTGTTAATAACGGGCACTGATGCCCCCTTATTTCTAATTGTAATCCAACTTCACATGTTCCATTGATCCGAGTACTTTTCTAGATAGGAACTAGACTTCAACGTCGTCCAAATATGGCTATTTTTTTCGATTTCGACTCATAATAAAGCCTATTTTTCATCTTACCAAGGTCTGAGAACATGTGGTTGACAACTCCATACAACTACAGAGGAAAAGGTAACGCATTAAAGGGGAAATGTTTAACATAACGAATCCAGTATTTTAGCGAAACAGTTTACACTCTTTTCAATGTATCGCTCAGTAGCGAGAAGCCAGACCCAACCTTCCTCCACGTACCTTCGTGCTTGGTGTGATGTTGAAATGTTTGCTTCAACATTGGTAAAACGCAAGAGAGTGTAGCGATAACATTTTGCGGTTCCGCAGCAAACAGCAGAGACCACGGCGTCCGTCTCCCGACCTCCCTGTCCGCGGGAGGAGGATGCGCCAGGCAGCGCCGCAACCACTCCCCTGCGCGCCCCACACCCCGCGCCCAGACTGCCCTTCAGCACGCCGCGAAATTGTATTCAATGTCGATTGCCGGTATTTCACAATATCCGGAAAACTTCACTTTACTAAAAAAGACATTGCTCCACGGTTAATATCAATCAATAAATGAATGTGATTAAAAAAAGATTCGACAATAGCACACTGTATTGTGAAGAATTAATTTCATTTGATTATTTAGTGTTTCCGGACGCATCAACTACTATAGACTTTAGTCCCATAAGAGTGACGCATGTTATATACCGGGAGGTGACAGTTTTCCTCTCCCGCAGGAACGACATCCGACGCCGATTTACACGCACGCGACGGCTGTTTCCGCCCTCACCCCCATGCCATGTATTTTCTCCCACGGACGCCATCACCCGTCACAAGTTCTCAGCAAAATTTCACCTTTAAGTTCACCGGGAAGATGTTTCAGATATTTATAGCATCTTTGTATGGATTCTACGGCGCTTCCACTTGGGGATTAAAGTGCATAATACTATCAGTTATATTTGGGTTTCTCTTTTTCTAGTTTTTCAGTTATCAGTTTTTCAATTCACTTACAGTTCAAAGTGTGTGTTTAAAAGTGTTTTGTGGTTATATCATAAGATTGAAATTTCCTTGCAGACGTGCCAAGGATGCTTTACAAGGATTATGGCTGCCCCGTCACCGCGTGACGATTCGCGGTTCTTCAAAAATGTACACAATAGGAATTTTCGATGTAACCTGAAACGCTCTTTATCACAGATATGTACGTGGCTACATAGTTTAGGTAAATATTTTTGTAAATAATAGGTACAAGAAAGTTAACTTCGCCTTTTTAGTGTTGTGTTCATGTAAACAGTCAAGGCAAAGGCTTACTCACACAATGAAACTGTAAATAAAATTGAATTCATGGATACCTCCAAACCGCTAAATTAGTGTAGCTGTGCTTGGATCAATAAATTATACTAATTATCATTAAAAAATACATTATGAAGTAAAATACACAAGTAAAATCTTTTTAAAAAAATTTCAAAAATAATTTTGACCTTTCCCATTTTCCAAGCCATCAAAACAGAAAAAAATGTTATGACACATTTCAAGGGGCTTCTGGCACGCAGAAGGCTCGTGTAGGCGCGGGGGGGGGGGTGCGACGGAGCTCTCGCTGGCGTGAAGACAACGTCGAGCCGCAGAGGGATCGGGGGGGGGGGCAAAAGACTCTCGACAGCCACTGCCCGGCCGCCATTTTTTACTGGGAAAATTGAAGGAGCCCACGCGAGTATGACAGATTGGACCGGCAATGAGTGGCGACGAGATTAATGGCCGGCCGTCAATGGCGCCTGAATGATGGCGGCTTGGTGTGAATTTACCTGGCGTTGTTATTCAGTCTCAGCCCCCCGCGCGGCTCGGGCGCCGCGCTACAGCTTCCCACGCATATCATATTTGATATATTGTGCGAGTGGTATAAATGGGAATCGTAATTGATACTTCTTCCAAACACGGGTGGCTCATTGCCAGGGCTGGGTT